ATTATATCTTCATACAAAACAGCTGATAATAAAAGGCAATAAGGTGCAGCACTACTATGGGTTCTCATTTCTAAACTTCAGCAGTAGGGGCAGAGCCAGAGGGGAGGCCGGGGTGGCAAGTGACACCTGGTTGTCCACCCCAGGTGCCACCCCCAGATACAGTAAATGACAATGGGTGGGTGTCTTGAATTTTATATTGGCATTTATATTTAAAGATCATTACTCTGATGCTACTGTAGCATGTAATTTTTTTTAGCAGTGTATCTTTTAAAATGTCCCTTTGTGAGATRAGCATTAGCATCAGTGGCTWGCTTAATTAGGAATTAGCATTGGTAATCAGTATGTGATCTTTAGCTTCTCCACAACAAATGAGTCATAAAATGGCTAAATTATAAGCTGTAATGGCCATCTTGAACTTTTTATTAGCATTTAGAATTTGGAAAACGATGAATGAAATAATGTGGAATTAGCTGAGGCAGACATCTTTGATCTTCAAATCCAGAGTGCTTTTCTTTATTTGTTTGTGCCTCTAAAAAAACACCTTGGCCACTCGATGCAAAACAGCCTAGCCCCGGCCCCGTTCAACGTTGTTTTCTTTTAGAAGTGACACATTTCAGATTTAGATTTAACCATTTTTTAAAGGTCCTGGTGAAAGTTTTAGACTTTGTGAATGTAGTTTTAAATTGTTTTGTAAAACAGGATAAGGTGAAAGAGTTTTGATCCTCTCTGAAGCAACATTATACGGTAACCTCAACTTAAGACGTGTCATAAAACACAAAGTGTCTGAAATCCCCCAGAGACAACATGACTGCAGCGCTTTGTTACCTGAAACACGATCAGGTTTCATGAGACGAGTTTCAGGTGAAGAACAAAGACCTCCGGCATGATTTTTAACAGTTTGTGTGGATTTTTGTCAGCGTGTTGTGATATTTTACAGCCTCATATTGAACCGCAACAACGTATTTTACCTGAAGTGCTGCGCACGTCTTCTAGACCCCTTTCAGACTGTATTGTGTCCATTTTTATTATTATTATAACTTTTTTTTTCATTATGAACACTTTAATGTGCACAAAAGCTCTGAGACGTTCTGTGTGTCACAGCAGCTCGTCACGTGACTCCGCTGGTTTAGCTGTTTCTGCTCTAGTGGTCATGAATCACGTTTCTCTGTTTCTGAAACCCTTTATTGTTCCTCGAGTATCAGTCAAAGTTTCTCTTTCAGCACAGATCAGTCTGGGAGACACATTAAAAACTGTTTCACTGAATCGAAAGAGTTGGTTCATCTTTAAACCACAAGAAAATTACAAAACAATACAACCAATGTAGAATAATAAATTCAAATTAAAATGGACTTTTAGCTCAATTTGTCCATTTAAATACATTTCTAAGACTAAGGCTTTTTGTCCAGAAGTTTTAGTGTTCATTTGTGGAAAAAAGAAAGTTTCTGATTGATGCCATTAAGGTAAAAGCAGGTAAAATTCATATTTTTAAAAAAAGTAAAGGTCCTGTAATTATGGTCAAAGTTAAACACAGCGTTTCAAATATACCTCTCTAACTTGAGCTTTAAAACCTACTTTTGCTAAAACGAGCAAGAGAGAATGTAAAAAAACATTTCATATAAGAAAAAACATCAAAAAGAAGTTGATTTATTCTGAAATTGTTAATTTATTTCTTCAAGTAAAGTAGAAACCTGATCAAGGCGATGAAGTTGAATGAAAACAGCAGATATGAGTGGAAATATGAAATAAAATAACAATGTTTGGAAATTTTAATCTTTCGTTTAATCGTTTTCTGTCTTGTGTTTTAAAAAAAACTTCCAGGGTGAAAATAAAGAAGCAGGTACTTTGGATTAAAGACGTTTCGGCTCATTTCTTGCTGTCTTCGATCTGCTCCGTCTCACTGGATTCATCCACCACCTTCCCGTTAATCATCGTCTGCGTGACGACTTTTACGATCTTTCTGGTCCGCACCTCGGGGTCTTCTGTAACGCAGGAGGAAAACAAGGTGAGTCACGGAGCYACACTGAAATGTATCATTACCAGAGCAATAAAAGAAAAACACGGTCTACTGTTGCATTCAGGTCACTGAAACCTAATGTCTGCAGAGTTTTGGCCAACACTCAGGAAGAAGGGATGACAAAGACTTATCAGATGGTTTTTGTCAGGATCTTTTTCTTTTTATCTTGTGTGCATATCAAGTGAATCAATAAATAACCTAAAGGACTGGATGCTCCAGACAAGGAGACAAAAAGATGTTTTATTGCTCTCATGACCCCTTTAAATCCTGCAAAAACTCGCCATGAAAATGTAAAATAACTGCAACTTTATTTAAACATTTATCTAATTAAAGTAGTTTGAACTTACTTTTAGGAGGTGGAGTTTGTTTCACCCTGTAAAATGAAATTGGCAAAGCTCAAACTGTATGACTGTACAGTATCACACAAAAAAAGAAAGTTTTTCGTTGATTTTGAGTTTACACCAGACAAAATGAGTGTAYTATTTGTTAAAATTCAGTTTTTATAATTTAAAGAAGTGTAAGGAAAGGCTCCCGTACATTTCCTCGCCCTCCAGCAGCCTCCTGTACGTTGCGATCTCCATCTCCAGGTTCTGCTTGATGCGCAGCAGCTGCTCGTAGTCGGTTTTGTTGCGCTGCATGTCCAAACGCAGCTGAGACAGCTCGTCCTCCAAGTGCACCAGCGTGGCCTGAAGACGGTCCATCTCCACTGAGTATTTGTGTCCGATTTCTCCCAGGTTCCCCTCCAACACGCTCACCTCCAAACACAAACACACAAAATCTTAGCATGACAACACAACACGGAGATGACTGAGGATTCAGCATTCAAACTGTGTTTTTGTAATTACAAGTAAAAAATTTTTTTTACAAACTAACTACTTTGTAGCTCTATTAAAAGTTCAGTTTATTTGGTAGGTTTTTGCTATGACTCTTCAAATTATTTAACTTTATTTTATTCTTTATTGAAATCCTTTCAGTTCCTTCAAAAACGTTGTTCTCTTTCAAATCTACTTCAACGTACAGGTTTTATATTTGTCTGCTTCTGCTACTTTCAGCTTTTAGCTACTTTCTGCCACTTTTACATTTTATAATTTTAGCTTCTAGCTCACCTTTTGATACTTTTAGCTAATGTTCTGCTACTTTTAGCCAGGCTTTTGCTAATTTTATCATTACCTGCTGCTATGCTACTTTTAGCATTGAAGTGCTTTTCGGTACTTTTAGCTTTTAGCTACTGTTTTGCTACATTTAACTTTTAGCTAAGTGTTTTTATCGTTTAGCTACTGCTCTGTTATTTTTATTATTTAGGAGCCTCTTGTTACCTTTAGTTTTTGCCTACTTTTAGGTTTTAACTAGCCTTTTGACGCTGTTAAATTTTGCTAGCCTCTTGGTACTTTTAGCTTTTAGCTATTGTTTCGCTACTTTTAACTTTTAGCTAAGTGTTTTCTTATTTTATCTTTTACCTATGTTCTGCTATTTGTAGCCTTTTGTAACATTTAGCTGGTCTTCTGGCTAGTTTGACCTTTAAATTGGCCTTTTGACACTTTTAGCTTTTGCTAGCCTTTTGATACTTTTTGCTAGTGTTCTGCAGCTTTTAGCTTTTAGATAGCTTTGTGAAATTATTAGCTGTTCTGCCACTTTAGCATTTAGGAGCCATTTGGTATTACCATGCAAGCACCAAAGCTTCTTAAATTGTGTTCATTTGCTGCAGTTTTTAGCTTTTAAGGATCAGACAAATCTGTTTTTTTACTAGTTTAACTGTAACAGTTGATGATGATGTTGATGATGATGATGATGATGATGATGTTGATGATGATGATGATGATGATGATGATGATGATGATGATGATGATGATGATGATGACAGGTTGAAGCTTTTGGATCAACTCAGATTGTTCTCATTAAACACAAACATGTCCGACAGTAAAGCTCACATTGTTCTTAGTGTTGCTTTGTAAATAGACAAGTTTGAACTCGCCCTCACTGCTCGACCAGACGACCCGTCTGTCATCATCAGAACATCTCGACCAGACGTCCCATCTGTCATCATCATCTCTGCATTCAGAGCCGAGAGCTCGCCGTCAGGCTGAGCAAACATCTGCAGTTTGATCACGTGTGACGCTGACAGAACACCAGCTGATCACTGAAACTGTGTACATTGTGTCTCCTACAGGAATAGCTCAATGCACACAGGGAGTAAGCAGCTGTTTTCCACTGGAGGAGGAGGTGATGTGCAGAAAAAAGTGCTGTGCAAACTGCACCCAACTGCTTTATGTTTTGATTCAAAATGAATTGATCACTCGGGACTTTTGCACAGCGTGTCGGTGGTGCTTCTGCTTCACACAGAACGTATGATCTTTGTGTTACCTGTCTCCGAAGACTGTCAAGCTCGACCTCCAGAGCCTGCAGGAACCGGCGCCTCTCGCTGAGCTCGCTCTGAGCACAGCGCAGCGCCTCGTTGCTCTCCTTGACCTCCGACTGAATGGCCTCGAGCTGCGAASATCAGAGCGACGCCAGGCGACACGTAGACGGTCAGTAACAGAGGGGAGGAACACGCGTGAAGAATAGGAGCTGATGAACGCTGACCTTCTTCAGGTACCAGGCCTCGGCCTCCTCCTTGTTCTTGCGAGCGATGCCCTCGTACTGGACCCTCAGCTCGGCGATGATGGCCCCGAGGTCGGGCCCCTGAGCTGCGTCCACCTCCACGTTCACCTGCTCGTTGGCGAGACGCGCCTTCAGGGTGCTCATCTCCTGTAAGAATTAATCATTAATCAAACAAACAACAACAACAAAAAAAAAAAACAGAATTTTATTGTTGAACATGGTTTGAAAGACGACTACTGTCGTTTTTCAGTCTGTTTCTGTTAAATCAACARGTTGCTTCTCATTTCGCCGCCTTTTTCCAGACGAATGCGTGCAACTTACAGTAATAACAGCAGTGCATTTATGAGGGAACCTGCACAGTTATTACCTAAACAATAGCCCCTTGATTTCAGACAAAGCTGGATAATAACAACRCTCTGAGGTTTGGCCCAAATCAAGTGACGCTAGCAGATTCTATCAGCTGCAGTGAGACCATAGAGAACAAGCTCAGGTTTTAATACGTGTCTTAAAGAGCCGATATTATGTGTTTCTCAGGCATACATTTAAATACTATACCATAATAAAGTATCTATGTCACCTTTAGCAG